ACTTTCTTTACGATCCCTATTTGCAGGTTTTGAAATTTCCAATTTTATATTTATCTTGCTTGCTGGATTTTTTATGCTCTACTATGGGCAAAGAATTGCATGATATAATTGCTAACTTTATACATTGTAATGGTAATAAATATAGCAAGTAGCTATCTGATACGGTTCATGATGATTTACTGTACCTATTGATTACTTGATCGCATTCGTTCGAGGTATTAAATGCTAAGCTGCAGCTGGAAATTGTCATGGAGATGTGTTTGAAAAAAAATTGAGCATTTAGAGTTTCTATGTAACTAAATCATTTCTATATAATGCATAGCAATGGGCAAATATACAACTCCCCTTAAGCGTGTATAAAATTTTACCAGTATAAAAGCAGCCTTTTCAAATAAAACATATATGTCTGAAACATCGCTTTAAATAAACCTCCGTGTCTTTTAAAGTAATTATTCTACGAATCAGTGTAATAAAACTTAATATGATGTGAACTGTTTACTCCTTCACTTCATACATAATATAGGGGTTGGAGCCCTAAAGATGCCGAGTGTCTACATGTTACAGTCATCTAATGTTCGCCTATTATTGGCTGGTAATTCCCCTTTCCCCTGTACTTATATTTGTAAGAAAGCTAGCTTCAAAGGGTAATATAATAACATCGTTTACACTAGAGTTATGATGTTTTTAACTTATGTAAAATATAGAAGAAACAAATCGACTTTTCAATACTCCTACGACCTTTGCAGTGCCTTATTTAGTATTCTACAACCACATTGGGTGCAATATACCAAGCTGTTTTTGTTGCAGGCTGGCAATAGAATAATAATAATGAGAAGAAGAATTACAAATGGGTAGTTTTGAGTGGATTTTCTTTTCCTTGTAAATCTAATATGCGTGCTTTCTGTGTATTTTAATATGGGGACAGCCTCAGCAGTCAATAGTAAAGGTTTCAAAGTGTTGTTTGAACTGAATCTTTACTGTTTAATGTGGTTTTTGCCCGTACGTTCTATTAAGGTTTTGTGCAATTCCTATTATGAACCACTGTCGTGTTATAACAAGAACTGGCTTCTATTTTACCGATGATTTATATAAAGTAAGCTAAACATTAGGTTTCACCAGCCTTTCTGTTCAAGTAATGGCTGATTCATTCGTGTTCTTAAATCATTCTAAAGGTAACTTTATTTGATTTGGTGGCTTTATTCGTGTCTCAGGAGCTGTAATAAAATTTCTCTTTCTGAAAGCACATTGATTTTTAACTCCAGGTCGTAAACTTCATGTCATTCAGTTTAATGCAATATAATATTTTTTCATTCAGAGCTACTATAACCAATGATGTTGAACCTCGGACACGGACATCTGGGATACATCAAAGTTAAAAACAATAACAATTTCGCATAATAGTTATACTGTAGTGTAAACTGGATAAAATGAGAGAGGAAGGTGTATTCCCAACTATTTACATATTTCTTCTTTCGTATAAAAAGAAGTTATATCCTGAAAATAATTTCTATACGAAACAGTCTTCCAAAAATGTTAGCACAAAAAAAGATGTGCTCTTTATGTTTTACGCAACATGATGCTCATATAGATGATATATATTGTTTGTGTGTATATATATATATATATATATATATATATATATA